GCAAAATTGGAGGCCTCTACTGTATCAGAACTGTTGTTAGAAGTGTTAGAAGCATGTTCAGTTCTACAGGTAGGTAAATAATTGTGAAATCAGGCCTTTGCCTTAAATTTACCACCTAAAACATGACAGGAGTTCAAACTTTAATAAGTAGATTTCAAATGAGAGTTTGAAAGGACTGTAAACAGACAAAGAAAACTATCCAGTAGTTGGCCTTGAAGGCACATTGTTTTGTAGGTCAGTGTTCAATACAGAGGTTTGCACACTGGTTATTTATACATTGTATTTTTCTTTCTCTAGTTTTGGCTTTTGGCCTTGCTGATACCAAGCGGATTATTCTGTGTGATGTGGAAAAACCTGAAAGCTTGCACTCCTTCTCTGTGGACTTATCTATTACATACATGCATTGGATGGAAGTAACTGAGGAAAGCAGGTGAGTCTGAAAAACTCTAGAAGTAAATTACAGGCTATGTAATGGCCACCTTATTAATAATTTATACTAGATGTGTTACAAACAGTCATATAAAACAAAATTCCATAGCTGTGGCTTTTTTTCACCACTTAGCTAAAATTTTCCGATTTTTAAAAATTTTTTTAGAATAGACACTTTTTGTATGCTTATTTTTAGTGCTGATATCTTAATCTTGTGCTTCTTCGTGCTGAAATTTAATGTGCAATCTAATCTTGAGTGCCTGTTTCTTGAGAGCTGCTTAATCTAGTGGTAGTTTGTACAGTCTGTCTTCTGATACAGTTTACTTCAATACCAATGAGTTTATTAAACCAATTGTAATAATGTTGTGTTCTTTTGTTAGTCAGAATAATTATATTGAGATATTTCTTCACCCGTGTTTTCAAGATCTTTAGTTTTAACGTTTACATCTTTCATGGTGTGTCTTTGGTGTCACATCCACCCCCACTGGTAGTTCTGTTGTTCAGGAAGTCAGTTTGTCTCTAGTGACCATGAGCTCTGTGGGATTAAACAACTCTCAGCAGTGCTTGTGAGCTGGAGGACATCATGATCCCTACTTCAGTGGTCTTACAGAAACCTCTGATATGCACCCTTATTGCACTGCAAGAAATTAATTAAATAAAGCATTTATTTAAAAGAGAGAGCAGTTGTAAACCTGACTTGGGGATTTCCCCCCCACCTCCAGAAAACACGAAATTTAAAATAGCATGAAAATAACTGCATCTTAAATCACTCTAAAGTTCTTCTCCTGATGGGGATAGGCTTAGCTCTTTTTGGGGAAATCTCATCCTTCTGGCATGTCTGAGGTGTGATATAAAGTATTGTGTGTTAATCTTCCTATCACTACAGTGTGTCTTTAACTGTTTTGAGGTGACGTAGGTTGTACTGCAGAGTTTAAACAGAAATCCTCAGTAGCTGCATTAGAGATGATGATGAAGGACTTTGGTGGCAAGCTTCCAAGCCAGCAAACTTTTTTCAGTGGAAATAATAAAAAATTTTTGGAGTTCTTTTATTAGTTTGATCACTTAATAAATTATTAAAAGTCCCATAAGGGATTGTCCTCTGGTATTTGTAGCTCTGATATACATGATGTATTGAGTATATGCTCAAGTTTGAAGTTAAAGACTCTTCTCATTTTTACAGCTTGGGTAATAAAGACAGTATTTATTTTTCAGTGTTCTCACTTCCTTTTACAATGCTGAGGATGAATCAAACCTCCTTTTGCCTAAATTACCAGCGCTACCAAAAAAGTAAGTGTTACACTACTAAGCTTGAGAAGGTAATATTTGTCATTTCATTTGTTGTCATTATTTCAGTTCTTCATCTTTAGTGCTCTACAGATGTCCAAACATTCTTATTGATGGCAATTATTCTGTTTTCAGTTACAGTACCACTGCAAAAATTTTCAGGTAAGAAACTGTCATAGCTCTCTATTTTTTGTTTTATTTTGTTTTCTGGTATTGGGACAAGCTACGTAAGCCCTAATTATATGGTTTGTATTTTCAGTGAGGAAAAGTCAGATGAGATTATGAAGCTTCTGGGTGATGTCAGGTAATTTCCATCTGTGCGTTGTTGTTTCTTGAGTTTTTTTGTCTTTTTTGTTTGGTTGGTTTTTTAAAATTATAAAATAATGCATAAGTGAGTTTACCTTTAAGGTATTCTTAATTGTTTTTAAGGGTCCTGGAGAAATTATATGGAATGTCTTTTTCTTTCGTGTACAAAGTTCAAAGAATATGTTAAAAATAAGTCTCCATCAGTTTACACCTTTTCCCCTCAGTTTAGAGAGATTATAAGGGACTTCATCGGCAACTGCTGTTGGTGCCATGTCTTCTTTTTCTTAAAATATTCCTTGGGGTGCATTTTAAGGCTATTTTATGTTACTGAAGCTGGTCTTGGAGACATTTGTGGGTACTTATTATAGACAGGAATTTCCTGGGGGTTTGTATGAGTGTGATAAAGCCAAACTTCACATTAGCTCTTAAAGCAGCTGTATTAGAGTTACTTTAAAATAAACATCTGTTATTT